TTCCAACCTTATTTTATTTAAAATTCTTTTCATATGTTTTACGTAATTGCTCATTTTAATACATCTGTGAACTATTAAAATTTATCTGCTACCTGCTGTTACCACTGTTAGTTTCTTGGAACATTAAATCTGATCAAGAACCTTTATACAATTTTTTTCTCTTCCCAAACAAGCCCTGAAAACATAGTACATGTCCTTTCCCCAGACATCCTTTTAGTAAGGAACGAATGATGCTAAAAAGTCGATCAAAGTGGATGTGCTACATTGCACCGATCAGAAATAGTTTATCTTTAGGAAGTCAAGAAGTAGATGCCAGGGGTATGTTTATAATACCAAGATGCAAAGGAAACTACCAGAAGACTGGAAAACAGAAGTGACTGTAGGGAAAGCTATGTGCACCTGAGGTTGGCATCACTGCGTCTAGCTTGGCTCCTCCTTGTTTGGGATGGGACCTGTGCAGGTGGCTCTTGGATACTTTTAAGAGCAGAAACTTGAACTCCAGTCAAATGTAAAATTACTTTTCATTTTATGCGTCTTTAAAGATAAACCTGGTTTCTTGAAACCTGGTTTCTGCAAACATCAAGAGGGGTGATCGAGGTGTAGAGCCCTGCAATGTAGAAATCACTGGACCAGGAATGTGAGGAATCCCCAGAAATTCCAAGTACTGGCCTGACTCCTGGGCCTCGCCCTCTAGAGCTGGCCTTCAGGAGCTGATGGTGTTGCCGACCTTTATCACCTGCAGATGTTTACCCCACGTCTTAATTTTAAAACACGGTGAACATCTTGGGAGGTTCTGCTGTGCATTAATTTAATGTTCTGCATCCGTGGGCTTCCTCAGACCCCACGCTGATGATCTTAAACAGCAAATCTTAATTTGTACTTTCCTACAATAGTCATATCAACACGCTCTTTATGAGTCCATCCCACATATCTCAGGGTGTCCGTAGGACCCTTTCAGGTGCTCCATGTGACCAAAGTTGTCTTTATAATAATATAGTCAAACCTCGTTTAAAGTAGTTGGTAGGCTTTTGGAAGCTGCACCTTTAAGGAAATGGTGAAGAATGAAACCAGTCCTCCACATTTTCTACAGTGACAGCCAGGATTTTTTTCTTCCTCATCAACATTATAACAAAAGGACATGGAAGGAAACGACTTTTCTGAGGACTCACTGTACTAAACCTTGGGTTGCCATTTTCTCTGGGCTGTGATTTGCGCTGATAGACATTGACAGTTTGGTTGAAATTGACGGTGCCTATCAAGGCCATGGCATCAAATTCCCCTACAGTCACTGTCATCAACACCACCATGCTCTCATGATGAAAAAGAAAAAGAGAAATACCAAATGCCAGTTTCACTTACAAATGTTCTTGATGAGACAGCAAGAATGAATTGTACCAAATCTGAATGCTTGAATACATATCTTTTTAATATTCTGCATGACAAAAACCTGCCATTTGGATCATGACCTTGAAGAGAAGCTTGGGTGGAAAGTAGCTGTCAACAAAATTAGTCACTTTTCATGAAACACTGTTCTTGTTCAAAAGAATGACAGATAAATTATGATTATTCAGACTTGGAGATTTGGCAGACATTTTCTCAAAAATGAATGGTGTGAGCCTGATGTTTCCAGGACAACAACTCACAGATTTTGTTACCAGTACATTTCAACCCCTAAAAGACTGAACTTTAATAATATGTATTTTTCCAGTGGAAGTGCGAGTAATATAACAAATGTGATTTTCAGTATAATGAAATGTACCAACATTTGGAAGATCCACAAACTCAGCCTGTATTTTCAAAGTGGCCAGTGCATGATGTTATAATTACATGCACAGAGGTAAAAGATTCCTTCAAATTGAAAGACGGATAGATTTGTAAATTAGTTATATGTTTTTATTGAGTTGAAATTCATATAACATAAAATGCACAGTTTTAATCATTTAGTATTTAGTGCAATATTTGTACAATGATTTCCACTACCTAGTTCCAGAATAGTTCCAGAATATTTTCATTGCCCCAAAAGGAAATCCTGTGCCACTTAGCAGTTACTCCCCTTCCTTCCTCCTCCGCTTCTGCAACTAATCCACCTTCTGCCTCTGTGTTTTTGCCTGTTCTGGACATATAAGAGGGGTCGCACAATTGGTGGCCTTTGGTGACTGGGTTCTTTCACTTTGCTTAAACATTTGCAAGACTCATCCATGTTGTAACATGTCTTGATAAGGCGTTCCTTTTTCGGAATGAATAATATTCCATTGTATGGATGAACCATGTTTTGTTTATGCACTCATATGTGACCGACGTGGGTTTGTCTGCTTTTTTGTCACCGTAGGTTTGTCTGCTTTTTTGTCACCGTGGGTTTGTCTGCTTTTTGTCAGTATGAATCATGCTGCTAAGAACATTTGTGCACAAGTGTTTGTGTGAGCCCCTGTTTTAAATTACCTTGGGTATCCACTTAAGAGTGGGATTACCATGTCATGAAGTTTAACTGAACTTGTGTTTAGCTTTTTGAGGGCCTGCCAAAATGTTTTCCACAATAGCCACACCATTTTCCATTCCCACAAGCAACAGTGAAGCTTTCAGTTCTCCACATCTTCATCAACCCTTGTTATTTTTCTTTTTTCCTTGTTTTTTACAGCTATATTAGTAAACGTCAAGTAGTATCTTTTGGTTGTGGTTTGCATTTCCCTGATAACATCTTTTCAATGTGCTTGTTGTTTTCAATGTGTCTGTTGGAGTTCTTTGCCCATTTTTAATGAGCAGTGTCTTTTTGTTGTTCAGTTGTGAGTGTTTTATGTATTTTAAGTATTAGTCTCTTATCAGATACATGGTACCTGATTTACAAGAATTTTTCCCATTCTGTGTGTTGTCTTTTCCATCTTGATAGTGAACATCACACCTTAGATGCACAGTTTTTAATTTTGATAAAGACCAATTATCTTCTTAAAATTTTGTTATCATTTGTTGTTTGTGCTTTTGGTGTCATATCTAATAATCTATTGCCAAGTCCAAAATCATTAAAGGTAACCTTATTTTACATAATCACCTCATGTTTTCGTCTAAGAGTTTTATAATCTTAGCTCTTATATTTAGTTTTTTGATCCATTTTGAGTTGACTTTTGCATAGGGTATAAAGGCCCAATTGCATTCTTTTGCATCTGTCTATCCAGTTCTCCCTGGTGAAAAGCGTATTCTTTCTCCATGGAATGATCTTAACAACTGGTCGGAAATCAATTGACCATAAATGTATGGGATTATTTCTGACTCTCAGTTGTGTTCCATTGGTATATCTATATTTATATATAGATATAGATACACACGTCTGTCCTTTTCTCAGGTTATTGTACCTTTGTACTGTTTTGAAATCTAGAAGTGTGAGTTTTCCAACTTCATCTTTACCTTTCATGATTGTTTTGGCTATTCATACTGCAGTGCCATGTGACTTTTAGGATCAGCTGGTTCATTTCTGAAAACAGTTGAAAGTTTAGTAGAGCATTCTGGTAGGGATTACACTGAGTCTCTCATCAGCTTGGACAGTAATACCATCGCAACAATATTAGATCTTCCAAACCATGAATATAGGCTGTCTTTCTGTTTGCTTAGTTGTTCTTTCCTTTCTTTCAACATTTTGTGCTTTTCAGTGTACTGGGTATTTTATTTCCTTAGTTCCTCTAAGCACTTTATTCTCTTTTGTGCTACTATAAGTTGTTTTATTAATTTCATTTTCTCATTGTTCATTGTTTAGAAAAATAATTCATCTTTGTATGTTGACCTTGTATTGTTTGGTGAATTCATTTATAAGTGCTAATGGTAGTTTTGTGGGATTTTCTACAAATAAGATCAGGTTATCTGTAAATAGAGAGAGCTCTACTTCTTCCTTTCAGTTTGAATGCTTTTTTTTTCTTATTATTGCCTAACTGCCCTGGCTAGAACTTCCAATACAGTATTGTATAATGGTGCAAGTGGATACACACAACAGTGGTCAAAAGAAATGGTAGACAAAGCAGTAACTTTCATCCCAGAACTCAGCTCTGGGAAGTTTGTTTAGCTACACTTTCTGAAATACACATTCAATCTGCTTTTTGCAGAAGTGTTATTGAAATCTTTGCTTTCCCTGGGCTTTTGAGAAAAGACACCATGTATTTTAGGTTCATTTCCTTCCATTGAAGCTCTCTGGTGGTTGTGGTGGGCTGCTGTAGGTTTTAAATTTTAACTTTCACACGTATGAGTTAAGGTCAACTTCAACAAGTATGGTGGCCACACACAACCGGGTGTTTCTAACTTTGCAGAACCTGCTTCACCCCGAGCTTCTCACCTCTCTGTGGTCCTTAAAACCTGACTTAGAAGCTGCTTCCCCTGGAAGGCCTCTCTGACTTTCCTGGTGACTCCTCCCTCATTTCCATACAACCCTCTGTAAAGTTCACTGGTAACTCTGAGGAGTGTATCTCATGTTTAGGGGCTCCTGTGCCTCCTGACAGGACCTGGACCTTTGGCTTGGGCATTTCCCCGAGGCATCTAGGAGGGAGACCCTGGGCCTTGTGGTGGAGCAAACAGGCCAAAAAGTCAATGCCACCAGCTGCTCTTTAGGACCTGTTGATCTGGTCCTCCCTAACAACAGATGATGGTTGTGAGGGAGCAGCGGGCAATTATGCTGGCCTTCCTTACATTGCGTGTATTCAGTGACCAAGTGTTTATGCCATACATGTGCACATGCAAATGTGTTAAAACTGAATAGCCACTTTGTACCATTTAATGTCATTCTGCTGTTTGTGTTTGACGGGTTCCTGGGCTCATCTGCATGTAATCAAGTAACCCTCCTTGCCACAGCTTAACTCACCACTTAACCCATCTCCCCCCCTGCCTGCATCAAGCCTTATTTTTATTTTGTAGGTGCTTGAATCATTATTTGGATATTAATAAAAACAAATCTTGGCTGATGCTAACCATCTTATTTCCTTTTTTTTTTTTTCTATTTTGTTTTGTTCTGCACACATTTTCTTTAGCTTGAAATGGCGATTGAAAACCTCCAAAAAAGCGAAGGGATCACATCACACAAAAGCGGCTTACTCAACAGCCATGTAAGTGCGTGTATGACTGGCAGTCTCCTGGCTGTATTCATAACCTGCGTGGACATTTTAAAAGCAAATGAAGATAATCAATAACAATTTAAAAGTATGGAAAGACAGGAAAAGCCAGCCTAGAAATCTACTGCTAGCAAAAATACCCTTCAGAAATGAGAGGGTCTTTATCCCTAAAGAAAATAATATAATAATAGCACCTACCTCTTCTGGTGGTTATGGGGATTTGGTTACTTAATTTATGTAAATATGCCCAGCAATGCCTGGCAAATAATAAACATTATAAATCATTCCCAAATAAGCAAAAATAAAAACAGTACTGGGAATGCCATAAAGATTCTTAGTTTTTCTTGTGATCAGCTCATTAAAAGGAATGGCAATTTAAGAAGCATGCAAAGCCACTAATTCCAACTAACTGTGGTTACAGAAGATTTTCTCCTTCACATGTCTCATGGAGAAACGCTGGTCATAGGTCCCATGCCAGGAGGGCATAAAGATCCTTGTCTGGGCAGCTTGTAGGGCAGGACAGGACCTGTGAGGGGACCAGACAAGAGCCTGTCTTTCCATGGATATCTGGGAAGGAAAGTCTGGTCTCTTCGCGCTTCTCCAGTACAATTGAGTTCTCCCCTTAGTACTCTGGCTTTACACATTTTGAAAGCCAGAATGGGCTTCTGAGCAGTTGCTTTGACTTTCTCTGGAGAATGAAAGCATCAAAGAAAAAGGAAGTCCCCTGTATTCAAGCACTAACCCAACTGACCCCATCAAAACTTTACTATGTCCGAGGGAGGGGGTTGCTCTCAAAGCAGTGATTCTGGGGGACAGAAGCCTACTAGCGAGAGGACCAGAAACTTCTGGATTCCTGGATCAGGCACAGGTGTGGGTCGCTGCTCAAGCACAAGTGGCGAGGACCCTGCACTCAGCGGCCTCACTCTAGTGGTCATGAAACAGAAGAAAGTGCGTCAGTACCTGCCGAGGGCCCCGTCCCTTCCGGGCTGGGCGGTCTTGGCCCAGCAGCCTTTGCCTGCTGGACGATGCCCCTGCAGGGCCCTGGGGGAGGCCATAACCGCCAGTGTGTGCTTGGGAGGAAGTCTTAACTCCAAACGCACTGGGAAGAAAAGCCTGTAGAGGACAGGAACCGTGTTTCTTTAGCACTAAAGACACCTGTGAGGCCAGGCTCTGGGCGGCCTCAGGGAGCAGAGGGAGGCAGGCAGGTGCGAGGCCCAAAGCCCGGCGGCAGCACTGTGAGGCAGCAGCGTGACTGCAGAAAATCGGAAAGACCTTTAGGCAGGTGCATGAGCTGCTCAGCGGCTGCGGGGTCGCTTCGGCTTTCTAACACCTTTCCTTTGGAGGGCAGCTTTCTTTGGTTGCTTCCCTTCCAGTCTCCACTCCTGAGTTAGAGGGACGAATTCCCTGCGTCTCTTTCCTCCCTTGTGATCTGTGTTTGGGTTGCCGCCATCTAGAGCTCGGAGAACTGGGGCCTGGGGTTTGGGCACTGAGGGTCAAAGAGCAGAGACAGGGTCTTCCTGGAGACAGGGTCCTTTATATACACTCGAGTAAAATCCCCGGATCTAGTCTTGGCACACGTGAAAGGAAGGGGAGCGTTTCCAAGGGCGACATGGCTGAGGGTGGGTGTGTCTGGGGCACGTCGGGTTGTCACAGGTGCTGCCTGCAGCAAGGCTGCATCCACTGCTGGCACCACCGGCCACAACCTCCCTCTTTGTCAGCTCAGATGTCCTGGTTGGGGAGCTCCTTCCTGCAGACCTGGTCCCTGATGGCCTCCCAGATCCCCTTTCTAGAAATAAAAGGCTCTGTTGTGGCATCAGCGTTACACCTAGAAGGCAAAAAGAGCCAGAACAAGACACTCCCTGCAGGGAGGGGTCTTGGAATTTGAGGGCAGAAACTCAGCGGGCGTGAGAAAATGTGCCAAGATCAAATTCAAGCGCATGAGGAGCCCAGCAGGAGCGTCAGCCGACTGGTCTCGTGCTCTGCAGTTAGTTTCCTTCTGCAGCGCCGCCCAGGTGGGCAGGCCCGAGCCTGGGGAAGCTGGCCTGAGCTGGGGCACCCCGGAGCTTCTCAAGATGGCCTCAAGGGCCTCAGACCCAGGGGGCTAACCGGTTTCTTCCAGCCGGGTGGAAAGTCCCCACAGGAGAGGGTGGGCCTCCAGCGGTCTGTAAAATTAGGTGACAGGAAAATGAATCGTGGCTTCAGAGGAAGGAGGAAGATGCTTGTGCAGGGGATTGGAAACGTTCTCGGTGTGGGTGCGGGCCTGCCGCGTGCCAAGGGCTCCTGTCGAGGCCCCAGCCTCGAGCTGACAGGCCTGTGAGCAGGGGAGGTGCCCGCCTCCTCCCGGGGCAGCCGCTCTGCTGTTCCCCAGTTCCTGGCTCAGAGACGCCACCTTGGGTTCGAAAGGCCGCTACCCCTGGGAGGCAGCCACTGCCTACTGCGAACTCTCATTGTCTCCAGACCCTGGGAGGCTCGATTGGGAGTGATCATGTTCAAGTTTTGTGACAGCTTCTCTGTGGAATCAAGTAATACAAATTGTGAAAGATCATTTAACCTGCTGGTGTCTGAAGCGGTGGCAAAGCTGTACCCTCCGGGATGGGGGGGGCGAGGGGGCCATAGCTAGAGCTGGCAGCTTCATGGTGGGTCCCTTATCCAAAAGTTGCTCCAGGCTATTATGACCAACACCTCTAGTGGCCATCTAGTGGCTGTCTTGTTTGGACTGCGACGCCTTTCAGAGTCTCCCCAACACACACACACATCCCTTGCTGACCCCACCCAGGCTCTTGATGGGGAGTGCATCCCAACGGCACCACTCCCGGCCCCCAGTGCCACGCCGCATACACCTGCCTGCTTGTCCAGCGCCCAGCCCTGACTGCCCCCGACCACCCCAGCGCCTCCCGCATCTTCCCTGCCAGCCCAGCGGTGCACCTCCTTGCTGCCCCGCCTCGAGTCACGCCCCATTTCTGGTGCTCTTTGGTCTCGCTGTCAGAGCAATCCAGAATCAGCCCACTTCTCCCACTTCCACCACCAAGGTCACTCCCCCCTTCCCTCTTCCCATGCGCCGTCATGGCTACCTCCTCGCTTGTGACCCAGCTTGCAGGCCCTCCTCAAGGCAGCAGCCAGAGTGGTTCTGCCAAACCTCAGTCGGGGCATGTCGCGGCTCTGCTCCGAGCCCTCCAGTCCGAGTCGAAGCTGACATGACCTCATGACCCCGCATGACCTGCCCCATCTCTTCCCGGTCACTTACCCCCTCCCTGCCGCCCCCTCATCACTCTGCTCTAGGCTCATGGGCCTCCAGCTTGCCAGGCCTTGCCCAGGGCCTTTGCACAGGCTGCTCCCTGAGCTGAAACACCAACCCTTCCTCCTCAGTTCCTTTGGTTTGTACTCACCACTCAGTGAAGCTGGTTTTCCTCAGAGCACTTAACACCACTTCTCATTCTGGGCATTGTCTTTATTTACTGTGGGTCTCTCCCCCATGAGAATGGACACTTCCAGAAGGAAGGGACTTGTCCATTTCATGCACTGTTGTGGCCTCAGCACCTGAAACAGGCGCTTCCAGTAAATGTGGGGTCGACGGGGAACGTCAAGTTCTATTATATCCACACTGGCACTGAGGAAAGCTGCCCAGCTGCCAGTGTATGGCACCCCAGGAAGCCATCAGTAGTCAGGGGGCCACTGTCAGACAGATCTGCCCCAAATCATAGGACATGCCCTACAGGACTAACTGGGGTAGGCCTACTGGGTGTGGGTCCCGACTGGGACACCCCCCCCCCTTCCAATTTGTAGTCTCCTGAGGAACCCAGAACTATAGGTTTGTTTTCTTTCCTTAAAAGGGAGGATTTGATCTGTTTCATCAACAAAGTGCCATCCTGACAGATCACCAATACAGATAAAAACATACCTTTTACTGAAAGAGTTCTCTGTATTCGTGTTTGAAGTTGACATAGAACTAAAGCAAACAGAGCTTACTGCAGAATAATCCGAAACGGAAGCTCTTGTCCAGTTGTCCACCTTTCCTTGTTTGACAGTTCCTGGTTCCTTTGAGGTTAGATTATTTGCAGGGAGTGAGGTGGGGAGAGACAGCAACCTTGAGTTAGCTCAGTTTCACTAACAGGTGCTTGTTCTGTATCACCCCTAACACCAGCAGCAGGCGCTGGCGGCTCTCCCAGCCCACCGGGAAAGTTTAGCACTTGATCTTCATCCAGCCCTAACCACTTCCCTCTGGATCACGCAGTGCCTAGGAGAGAGGCAGCGTAGCCACTTACTCTTTGGAGACTGCTAGTGGTGTCCACTCTGGCGTAGCCACTTCACTGAGGAGCACAGTAACCACGCTTCCTTGTCATGTTGCTGCTGATGTCAAGGTCAGCATAATTGCCCAAAGCCTGCTTTTCACTTAAATAACACGGAGCTGGGGTGATAACCCATGGGGTCAGCTTTCCAAACTTCCTTCTTGTTAACAAGTGAACGAGCGGTGTCTGAAGGTGAACCATCGTAGCCCCGATGGAGAGCCCCTTCCAGTCCGCTACCCACAGAATCTGGCCTCACCTCCGAGAATCTGTGTGACCACCCAGCTCGAATCCTGACTGCACCCTAGGGCCGGCACCCTTGCTCTCCCAGGCCCAGGTAGCAAAGAGAGAAGGAAAGTCTGGAGCTCCAGCACCCCCTAGCTCTCTGCTCCCACATGCTGGCCTCCCCTCCCCCTGCTCTTCAGGACCCTTTCTCAGTCAGTGTTTCTTGGGGCACCTTTAAGATCCCAGGGTGAAGCTTGGAGAGATAGATCAATGGCTGCTAAGGGGCCAGAGCGGAACTTTGACAAGGGGGTTGGCCTGCCACCTTTTTCAGGAAAAAAAGTACATTTAAGAAAAGTGTGAAAAGTAAAGTTCTGAGTGGCTTGATGGAAAATGAAAAATATGTTCTTTTCCTAAAGGGGCAATTGAAAAAGAGGAAGCCCTTTCCACGGTCATTTCTTATTTCCCTTGACCTTGTGCACCTCCTGTGATTGACTGTCCTCCCCAGGCTCCTGTGACCTTGACCTCTGCCCCGTTCCTCACTGGCTACACCCCGTCTTCCTGTTCTAATTGATGCAGGCAGGAGTCCCACCCCAGAGTTAGGACGTGGCATCTGGCACTGGACAGGTGCGCCCAGAGCACCTTCTTGTTCACGCCGTCTGCCATGCGCGCAGGGGCCACACGGGGGCGCGCCTGAGAACAGCCAACAGCAGGACCTTAGGCGCGCTTTGTAGTAATCGGAGGGGTTGGTGGCCCCGTTCAACCACAGCTCTACTAAGGGTTTGCAGGAGCTGCATCGGTCCCACATCACCGAGGGCTGGTGGCTGCGGACTCATCTGTGGGGCCAGAGGGGGAAGGGGAGCCCCTCCTGACTTTCCCCTGTGTCAGGCAGCCTGTAACACCGGCCTTGGTTGTCAGCCACACTCCGCTCTTCCTCCCCAACCCCTGCATGAGAGCATGCCCCTGTGTTCCCCAAGAACCTCTCTCTGTGCCCCCACCCCCCAGGCCCCTTGGTGTCAAATTGTCCCATCAGGCCCAACGTCTGTCTTGAGCCCACAACCCCCACGGAGCCTCCTCCTCTCCCAAGCAGAACCCGTTACCTTAGCTCTTCCTGATGCCTGGTGTCTGCCTGTCCATGCCAGCCCCTCGGGTGCCCCTCCTGCCTCTGACCTGCTCCCCGACCTGGATCTCACACCCCCTGCCTTTGCCCATCCCCTGCCCCTGAAACTTGCCCTATCCTGAAACACGCATTATTCCAGCATTGCACCCAGCTGGCCCCACCTGTCTTGTGGAAACAAAGGTCCCCTTTAGAGCATGGAGACCCCAGGAATGCAACGAAGGTGCATGGCCCAGGACAGGCAAGAGGAAGGGCCGGGGCTCCCATGGGATAAACTTGGGCCTGAGTTGATGGCCGTTGCAGCAGGTGCCTTTAGCTCTTCTACCTCTGTGCGTTGGAGCCTCTCCGCGGTAAGCTGTTGCTTAAAGGGAGGTGCAGGCCGACACTCCAGCTAGTGTCTAGTCGGGGAGCGTTAACACTGGACTGGGGACCTGCAGGACAACTGGGGTCAGGGCTCGGAATGTCCCAGTTATGGGGAGCCCGTCAAAGACAGGGTTGTGGCTTAGACAGACCCCTCGACTCCCGCACACTCCTCAGGCAGGGCGATCCTCTGGGCCTCCTCCTGTGCAGAGGGTGCCCGCCTTTCTCCACACCCCACTTGTGACCGTGGGCGCCGATGTTCACGTCAGACACCCCTGGACTGGTCAGGGCACAGATGCCCTCCACGCTGGGCTCCTCTACACTTGCCATGTGGGCCTTGCCTGCCCACGTGGGCAGCCCAGCCCTCTTGATGCTGACCTCTGCAGGACAGAGACTTCACCTTCGGATCCTTGGAGCCTGCCTTGTGCCCGGGCGCAAAGCCCTGCACACAGTCTTCTCAGCATTTCGGTCTCCGTTCTTGCCTCGATTCGGGCTTCAGTTCTAGCCGATCTGTTCATCCTCTCAGCTAACTGTGCTGTGCGCGCCGACACTTCTCTCACCTTCCTGTCGCTCCTGGCATCGGCGTCAGCCCCAGTTCTCACAGGCTTAGCCATGGATGTTGTTTACCTGGTGTGCAGGGTGTGTGGGCATTTAGCTGATGATGAAAAAGCCCAAACGGTCTCCTCACATGCTGGTTTTTCTACCCCATGTCAAGGAACCTTGACACACAGGCTGGAAATTGAATGACTAAATAAGCAAGTGAAAAGAAGTTATGATTCATTTGCTCAGATTCGTGAACTCAAGCCTGTGACAGCAGAGATGAATTTCGGCACCACGTTAGTAGAGGGAAGACGTGGGTTCCCTTCACGAGTACATAGGAGGTTTGCATTTTGGTTCAAGGTGTGTTCATCGAGGTGCCGCTGGTGTGACGATGCGCCCGTGTCTCTCTCCCCAGCTCCAGTGGCTGTTAGACAACTACGAGACTGCGGAGGGCGTGAGTCTCCCCAGGAGCTCTCTTTACAACCACTACCTCCGGCACTGCCAGGAGCACAAGCTGGACCCCGTAAATGCCGCCTCCTTTGGGAAACTGATCCGCTCTGTGTTCATGGGCCTGAGGACACGGCGCCTGGGCACCAGGTGGGCAGCTGGGAGTGCCACACGCCTTGTCCCCGCCATCCTCCCGCTTCCTCTACGCCATGCTCCCCTACCCTAAGTGTCACTTCCGGCGGGTGCCCCCTACCCTAAGTGTCACTTCCGG